TTTTATTTTGTAATAAATTTATTGGTTGTTCGGATACAGTATGATTTCTCTTCTATTCGTATTATTTGTACGATTTTGTTTGATTATTTCGGCACGGACATCCATGCTTCTTAAAGAGTCGCAGGTAGAATATGTTGGGAAGAGATTGCCTGTTAAAAGAATAGTACATATTAATAATAAGCGAAAGTAACATGGATAAAACGAGGAAAGAATATTGATGTCGCGAGACAAGGAATCTCGTTTTATATTAAAATTGCCTGACTGAGAGGAAACCAGGTAGAAATCTCGTATAGTACTTTATTATTATACATCGAAGATATCAGTTATTGAAGAAAAAAACTGAGCTGTATGTGGAACAGAAACCGATTCGCCTGCTTGCTGCGAAGTTTCGGCGCGCGCAGGGATGTAAAATCATTGGGTGATAACTTGCGGTACTCGCTTTTTCAGAGATCGTCCCCTCCGTATTGCGTCGTCTTTCGTTTACGAAGAAACCTGTGATACTTAGCTGATTTTATCAAATTGTATCGTATTTCGTGTCATTTTAAATACACGAATATGACGGACATGTTGGTGAATGTTTCATAAGAATTGGTAATGATATGAAAGTTTTATTATTGTATTGGTGCCTCGTCGATATTCGGTCTCGGATCGAGTAATATTATCCGCCATTATTTCCGTAGTCAGTAGTAGATGTTGAATAGAGAAAAGGGATGTAGTTGTTGTATTGTAAATTCTAGGATATCATAAAATGCTAAAATGTTTCTATTGTGAATATATTTTAATTGAAGTACTGGCTAAACTTCGTGTGCAGGCACAACTCTTTCTCAACTGTTATTGCGTTTTTTGATAATACAGGAAACATTTTGATATTGTACGAAATTCGGGATTCAAGTGTTCCGATAATGAAGATACATAAACAATTCCATATGTCGAAACTGAGGTCCCAGACGTGTCGAACGTAGAAAGGGACAATGCGAGTGAAAGAGAAGGAGGGACTGAGAATCAACAAATATGAACGACTTGTGATAAGCTGAGTAGTTCAATTCAAAATTTAAATTTTCTTATTATTGATTTGTGATGAAGCTTTTACCAACACGTTACTTATATTTTTATAATAAAAATATCATCAGACACTACATTGTTCGAAGCATATTTGCTAACTCATTTTAATCGGAAAGATCTCACAATATTGATCGTAAAGCGATATTCCGACATTCTGAACACATTATGTGTTTAAATAAATAATAAAATTTACCGTTTAAACGGTTATCACGTAAAAGTAAGCGCAGTAGGCTAAAAGTACCAAACTTTAAAAACGCAAGAACCATTTGATTCTTATATTAGAAACATCCATATGTCGTCTATATTCTCTGTTCATATGAGTGCTATCAGAAAATGTCAGAAAGGTTAAGAAAGATGGTGGCCAGAAACGAGATTTAACCGAGAAAACGCTGGCCGTTAGTGTGTTAATTTAGAACATTAACAGATACAAAACACACGTATGCACAGTACGAATTCTATGTACTTACCAACTTTTCAAATTCAATCTTGATGAAGGGGATGGTCTTCTTTCGGAAAGTGATACAGATGATATGAATCTTGATGAAGGGGATTGTCTTCTTTCGGAAAGTGATACAGATGATATTCTCGATGTCAACTGTTGTTACATTCGATGTAGACGTAAATATTTTCTCACGGAATCATTCCCCGCAAGCTTCGCAGGAATCGGCGTACATAATGTTGTAAAAGGACAAAAAAGAAGAAAATAGTAAATGTAATAACAAAAAGTCCACGTTGTTTATAAGATTCTTTTTCTTCGACAAACATTAGGTTCGGTTATGTGCGGTAGACGACAGACGAGTAAATCTGAGTAAAATTTGTTTTTCCCAAGATTCGTTAGAAGTTCCGAGGTAAGGATGGGGGTACCACGCGGATTGGAATGTTTGCAAATTTATCGGATGGGAAAGGATTAATGGAAGAAGAAGGTAAACGCTCACGTCTATTGGTTACCTTAAGATAGCAATTGGCCAATTCAATTAGCCTACAAAACACGTAAAGTCGGGAAAACTTGCAGGTGGCAATGTTTTTACACAGAAAGTCGCTATTTTATACTAAAAAATTTTTTTAATTCCATGCTTTTGAAATCTTATTAATAAAATGTGTTTTATAGCATTATATGCCAGAAGACAAACGCTACCCCACCATCGTATACCATTCCAGAAAAGCTGCTGATTGTGAGATTATAACCAATCCACTCCCATTGTCAATTCCTCCCTACATTATGGTGTCGTTTGTCTCTTGCTTTTCCTCGACAACGAACGAACATGCCGCTCACAGTGCCGTTGGAGAACCGCTAACAACTCACAGACAGTTAGTAAATATGTTATATTTGCTAGATGATGTCTTTAATCAAGTTCGAAAAGGACAATGTTACCAATTTAATATTTATTCTTTTTACATGAAACCATCGATTATTCTGCCAAGTATAGTTTAATCAAATTGAAATTTTTTGCATTTTGTAAAGAACTGGAGATTGTAAAGATTTTTGTATTCTATATATATTATTGTATTCTTCATATCATTCTACGACGTATGAATCTTCTACATCGAACTTCGATACATGAAGCAATCAGAATGAAATTTTTTGCATTTTGTTAATATGATTCCTCGATACCGGTTGAAAAATTGTTTGGTTTCTTGGTGGGAATAAATACTCAGTAAATGAAGAATTTTTCGCGAGCCCTATAAAAACAAATTTTATGCAGATTCAATCTGTAGTCTACCGCAGACAACGAAATACATATGCAGCACAAATAAATACTGTTACGCCACGAGGCTTACCATAGACTGTGTCCCTTGTCACGTAAACTTGAGGGTTACACGATGAAAACAAGATAGTTGAACCGTAACACTACTATTAACTTTATTTTTTTTTTTATTAAACTTTATTTTTCACTTAATATTCACAATTGAGTATACACTGATCAAATACGCGACTGGTCTGAGGGCAGAAACCGGTAAAGATATGTTGACTATTCTAAGGATACAGAATAAGTGAGTTTTACTGACGATACTCTGTCTGAGGAAAACTGAGGAAATAAAAGATACTTGTATGGTCTGAAGGATCTTAATATGGAAATGCCAAGACCCATGGTGGATCCTTAAGACTATTAAGGATACGCGCCAAGGATGTGCAGACATGTGGCTGCCATCTTGCTCGCGGCGTGTGGCATGGTCTCTGATGTGGGTTGATGTTACATCTTAACCATCGCTCGTGGTACTACAATGTCGCAGAGAGATCGTCTTATAGGACCGGCGAAATATATACAATGTAGCGACAAGCGCATAGTTGTCATCAAGCAGCGAGTTCTAGAAACGTCGATTCGCTTTCGGTCCGTTATTTCATCTACACAAAGAAGGTGTCATACGTGATCATAGGCGCGCACGGTGGAGTAGTGGGGGTCGTCTCCCAGAGAAGACAAAGAAAGAATCGAAATTTGTATCATTTGAGGATTCAAACGTTATGCATCGAGAGGTCTAGACGAATAAAGTCAAAGTCGCTTAATCAAACGGAATGCATGAAAAGGTTCAGACGAATAAAATCCGGGTTCCTTAGTCTAACAAATACTTCGAGAACTATCATAAAGTCGGGTCGAATTACTAACAAACTAATTGTATTTATCATTAAATAATTTGTGACGTGTCCATTGTATAATTTTAAATATTGTTAAATATACAAGTTTTATATTAATCCTGTTAATTCAGTGTTAAATTCATTTGAACTAACTCTGTTATCTTAATCGAAAGAGGGGAACGACAAATTCGCTGCGTCGATTAGTAGAATCGTAACGAGAATTTACGCCTCTCGCTCATGCGTCTTCCTTGCTACGGCGTCTCCCCGCGAACGGTCGTACCAAACGGTCGTTGTTATGAAAGGAAAAGTAATTTTGTATTCCGTACATAGTTATTATTCTGTGACAAATATCTACCCTAGGAATGTCAAGATTTAAAAAAAAAAAAATAACGGACATAGAAGAAGACTGTTCCGTGTACGATGAACAAGAAACTTCAGCAACTAACTGAAAACGGCATGGAAACACATGAAAAGCTATTTTCAACCGAATCAGAGTTGAATATTATAAATAAACGTTTACGCAAGGACAAGAATGAAAGTAATTATCGTCGGGAGTGTCACGTAAAATAACAAAGTAAAAAAAGGAATTTAAGGTAAAAATAAAAAAGAAAACTTTATTTTTTTTTCTAACATCAATACACTTCACAATCTACTTCCGAACTCTAGGCGTGACTTTCCAAGACTGACTCTTATGATTTTACTTTCGATCGGATCCGATTATTTTCTTTTCTCATCCCTCAACATCCCCTAGAGAATTCACAAGATTGTTATAAACCTGGAGTATGCATTACTTTTATATAGAGAATCGCGGGAAAAAACCATACAATAAAACTATCAACAAGTTCATATTCATGACTACAAAAAATTTGCCAAGTAAAAAACTGTAACAATTAGAAAATTACGAAAATTTGTTTAAGACGTAGGAAATATATATGCAGCAAATGTATACTTGATAATTAAACAATTTGTAAAAATGCATCTAAGTTGAATAAGATATACCTCTAAATAAACAAAAGTGTAATTTTATTTAAGACTATAATTGAAATTAAACAAACGTAAATTTAGTCCAAATTTTATGAAAGTTCATCATTTTATATACATTTAGTTACAAATTAACCATTATCTAAGATAAATCATAAAAACTATTACTTCTTTAATGACCGGTCATTTTGCCCGCACACGGTAGCACAGATATACACGAAGTGTCGGTAGGTTTAGTGTTAAGTGATTAAACGCTCTTAATAATTGTCATAATAATTATACATTCATTTCGGTTTGCATTATTGAATTTTATTAATTCTTATATTTTTAATATTACCGTAACTGTTACATTCTGTATAGTGCAAACGTGTTCTTATAATGAGTAAAATGATCTCTCTTTCATCTCTGATAAAATATGTCCGGAGTTAAATACGGATTTGAAAACGAACTAAATTACGACAATTTTGAAAAATATTGATTCATAAGTTTACTTATGTCCGATTTGAATCTTTTTAAAAAGATCAGATCAAATGACCGGCTCCAATGTTTAATCTAAAGTTTCATTGTTATTTTTTTGTTCAACTGACTTTATGTAAATTCTTATATTATCTGATCAATTGATTTCTCAATTTGTGTTAATATGTTTGCAAAATCAGTTGTAATGTTTGCAAAAGTTAGATGAACGAAATAAATAATAATGAATGTACAATTTTTAATTAAATTTTGAAAACGGCTATGTGACCGGGCCTGGTAAGGTTAGTATAAATTTACTTTTAACCATGAACAAGATATATTACGATACGATATTGCTGATAGGATAATACGGCTGAGTCATTTCGCGATTACAACACAAAATTGTTCACTCTTATACTACGTCATGGACGAGATGTCTGGTGCATTTGCTTATTATAACAAAAGTTGTAATATTGAAGAAACACATTCACGGCACATCTTACCGATGATGTAGTACGAATATTGCGTCGGGGGATAACATCTTCCGAAACAATATACAAACAGTATTGTGTCGCGATTAAGCTGTTATGGTATCGTGCCGCTACATATGTCGCCCATGGTTACGAACAGAGAGGAAATTGGAGTTCAACTGAAATTAACTTGCAAAAGGATCTATAGCATTAAAGATCTGCCCTGCTTTGTCGTAATTTAGCATATACAAGAACCTTTGTATTTAACCTTAAAATTAGGGATTTACCCGATTAGGTTGTATGCTGACATAAACAAGAACACACTACGGAAACCTATTTATTCGTACGTTGCCTAAGAAAGAGAACTTAATCGTTTACTATATTTATGAACGAAGATATATGTCAACTAGAGTTAAAAATAGTAAAAAATGTTAA